CCGTAGCGAGCATCAATGGACCGGATAAATTCCACCGAGGTATTCGGCGCTGCAAGGCATTTTTGCAAAATTATCAGCCTAGCTCTGAGTTGTAGGCCCAATGACTGGAAATGATAAAGTAGTACAAATACATGTGCCAAGGGAGAGATTTTTATTTATGTCAAAACGAAAAGTATGAGATTTATAGGTAGACTTCCTCTTGTTTCCCCTAACCCTAGGCGCCTAGGCAAACTTTCCCCTCTACACTTCATCGGCGAGCCCATGGAGTCACCTCCCCTCTGCCTGCTGCTCCGCTGCCAGTGGCGGGGAGGTGAATCCTAGTGCCTTCGCTTTGGTTAGTAGTTTATAGGTTAGGTTATTTTTAGTCCTCGCAGACGGCAGCGCTTCTTCTTCGAGTTTGTTTTTCAGGCTTCGATCCGCCTCGAGTTCATCCGTCTAGACGTAGTCTGTGGAGCTCCGGCATGGATCCCGTCGTCTCCTTAGGGCGGTAAGGTTAGGGTTTCTCGCCATGTGGTGAGACTTGGCTCTGGTGCTTTAGATCTATGTAAGGGTTCAACAACGACGATTGTGGTTCCGGGGCGCCGGTCTTTAGGGATACGTACATGAAGACTTCCCGACTGTCACCGACAATGTCAAGCCGGCATCGGTAGAGGTACGGCGGCTCATTCGCGGTAGTAGTGGTCATTCGGTGGTCTCAGAATCTTAATGTAAGAAAAAAAATATGAGATTGGATGAAGAAACTCAAATGTGTGTTTTTAACGGCAAAATACTTTGATAGTTTGCCTTGCCTTCTGTCGTTGGAAGGTGGACCCGGGCACATATGGAAGTTCTAAGAGAAGAAAAAAAATGCATGGCTAGCGTGGCAATGTGCGCCACCGCTCCGTACACCCGCCGGCGGAGAGTGCGGACCAGCATGGGCGATGCACTCGGCTAGGAGCGGCGGAGCGCCGTTGCCGCGCGAAGGATCCCGTCGACGCCGTGCTGGGCCAAGCCACATCCGTCCGACCACCAGCCTCGAGTTGGGGGCGGCGGCGACGTGGTGGCGGAGCCAAACCATAGCGTCGCCCGAGTGCTTTCGCCGCAGGTGAGAACTCCCGCTCATTCTCATCTCCATGACTCCATACAATACGCCACGGCGTCTCGAACCAGAAAACCTCTAGGTAGCTGCCTCTGTGATCCGGTACTGGTAGTCGTCCGCTGAAATTTCCCGGTTCTTGGCTTCGGATTCCTCTCCGTGTCCAAGCTCTCCATGTCCTAGTCGGATTAGAGCACTGCCCTTCGACTCTGATACGAGGTCAGCAAGCCCTTTGCCGTTGTCGTGCGGGTGCAGGTGTGTGTTGCAGAGTCGGACCGGAGATCCAGTGGCGTGGCACTGGGAGGCAGTTAAATATTGGGGCGAACTAGCTAGGGATTTGAGGAGCAATTACTAAAAAGGTTACGAGCGATTCCTTTGTTGGGCTCAAACAATAAGGTTTCGAGCAACCATGGCCTGCTGTCGCCTCGCCCACCCCAAGGTCCTTTTCTTTATTTCCGTGTGTTCATCCCATTCCCAGCGTTACTTTGGTTGCTCTGTTCGATCAATCTTGGTGTTGATGAGGCTCTTGTATAGTATAAAAGGAACGATTGTTCTTCTTTCCTTTCTGTAGTTGATTGATTGATGCAACATCGGTGCTGAAACCCCGCAACTGATGCAAAGCACTGTCGGCTTGAGTTTCAGATTGATGCCGGACACCTTTTTTTAGATGTGGGGTTGCTTGGTTTACTAGCGTTTTGGATTGGGCGTCAATGCCATGCCGCTTTACGGATTGCCAAATTGCTAGCCCTGCACACATAACACCCTCTTCTGCAAGACTGACTCCGTGCGCGTGTTTGTGTCACAGGCTGCTGTGACGCATCGACCGGCAAACACGGTTAACAAGGAGAAAAGCGCGGCTCCTTTCGGAGCACCTGCAGGTGCAGGTTTGCTTCTTTGCCCGCCCCTTCAACTGCAACTTATTAGTGTAAGATAAGACGATATATGCATAGTGTTCGTCGATGAGATTGATGCCATTGCTGGGAGCAGGAGCTCACAAGATTCAAAGTCGCACAGACACACCATTAATCAGCTGCTCGTCGAACTAGATGGCTTGGAGCAGAATGATGGGGTGATCATGGTAGCGGCGACCAACAACCTCGAGTCACTGGATCAAGCCCTTGTTAGGTCTGGGCGTTTCGACCGTCACATTCAGATTCATTATCCAAATGTTGAGGGCCGACGCCAGATCCTCGAGGCTCATATGTCAAAGGTTTGCACTCCACATCCTTCAAAATATTATTAGGCGTCGTCTTGGCAGCCTCTAATGACAACCAATTTTCTCCATGAATTTTTTGATGCAGGTGTTGAAAACCAAGGATGTGGATCTTCTGACCATCGCGAAGAGGACATCTGGGTTGTCAGGTGCAAACCTGGCAACCCTGGTGAACGACGCCGTTCTCAAGGCTGTTAAGGACGGGGCAGAAGCTGTTGCGACGCATCACCTGGAGTATGCCACAGACAGGATTCTAGTGGGCGGTGAGCGCAGATCAGTGGCGATGCCTGATAACTGCAAGAGGATGACCACGTACCATGAGGCAGGGCATGCCATCGTTGCTATCCACACGGATGGCGCTGATCCCGTCCACAAGGCTACCATTGTTCCCAGGGGTGATTTTCTTGGCATGGTGTGGCAGCTGCCGGAGGAGGGCGATGAGTATATATTCTCAAGGAAAAAGATGCAGGCAGGACTGGATGTCCTCATGGGAGGCCGGGCGGCTGAGGAGGTTATCTTTGGTGAGAGCGAGGTGAGCTCCCTCACCCTGACTGACCTGGGCGAGGCGACCCAGCTGGCGACGGACATGGTTGCCAGGTATGGCATGAGCAAGCAGGTCGGTCCTGTCTCCTATGACAACAACGACGGCAGTTGGAACGCCAAGACCATGAGCTGGAACAACCATGGTGGACCAGGAGGTGAAAGAGTTGTTGAGCAAGGCTTATGAGAACGCAAAGACGATCCTAGCGGCGCACAAGCGGGAGCTCCATGCGCTCGTTGTCGCCCTCCTGGAGCATGAGACCCTGACCGGAGACCAGATCACGGCGCTCCTGAATGAAACTCTCGCCAACCGTGAAACCGGCATCGATTGGCCGCAAGAGGAAGAAGAAGTAAATGAATGGTCTAATCGGTAGAATCAGGAAACACGACCTTCTTCATCCTAACACTTCGGAGACTAGACTAACAGTTTTTTCCTTGCAATGATTTTCTTCTTCTTTCGGTTCATTATTTGTTGCATATAACACAAATGTGAAGATTTACGTTCTGGATTTCTCTGGCCTTTTCTCCTTTCCTACTATAGAATGTGATTTGTTTTGGCATATTATATGTTTCAAACCAGTATTTCTATTGGTCGGAACCCTCCTGACCAAAACCTTTTTGAAACACAAACCCCATCAGTTCAGTGAACTGGTTGCCCAACTTTACGATTTCATTGACAGGTGTGTGTGTTGCCCCCTCTGTTCCAACACACCTCAAGTTCTAAGTTAAGTCCTAAGTCAAATTTCTTGGAATTTACGAACTTTATAGAAAAATTGGTGGGTGTCTAGGCGTTCAATTTCAATCGGCTCGCTTCAGTGCTTGTAGTCGTTGTTAGTTGGTCTATAAAAAAAGCTATATTCGCACACACCTGTTGGGCTTGAAATCATTTCTGCAAATTCCCAGCAAACTGCCATACATCATAATTAGTACCACATCTTAATCATTTCAAGTTGCCACACGCACATCTCAACGAATTTGACATGTTTTGTGAATTGGATGAAGCATTGGGATATGAGTCGTTACATGCGAAATTCAACTCCAAGAAAATTGCGGAAAAACAGGGGGGCTGGGATCATACCCACGCCATGAGCAGACACCGTTGGTGCTCACTGCTGCCCGGTCTCCGCTTCATTGTCCTCCACAAGTGCTGGTGCCACAGTAGATGGTGACACCGCGGAGCTGCAAGACCCGGCACCGTGGAATGCACCGCCTTTTCGTAATTGACACGTCGCGCACCAACGCCGCTGTAATCTCGCCGAGACACCGGAGCACGAAATGTGCCCTGGGATGAGCGTGTCATCGGCGATGACAAACACGATCGCCTCCTCCTGCTTGAGCACCCCGTGGAAGCCACCCCAATAGGGAGGGGATGGAACCACAGTGACGACCTCTGTTGCATCTGTGCCACCGCCGCCTTCCCAATGCTCCGGCCGGCCCGAGCAACTCAGCCGTGGTCGCCATCGAGGAGATGCGTTGTTGCATCTGCCTCCGGTTCGAGCTCCCCGCAAGAGCCACTCTGATACGCTGAGGTGCCGTGCCACCATCGCCTCCCACCGCGCATGAGGTGCCGTGCCACCAATGCTGATCTATGTAGAGAGTGTTTTTTGGGGATTATTTGCTAGTAGGTATTGATATCTTATTTGCACAAACAGGAAAATAACAAGATTTTCAGAGGGGGTAACGCAGATTGTTTTCACAAGTGGCAGTAAATATATACTACATACAAGCATGAACTACTAAGTGTAGCTTGTAGAATAAAACAAGGTGCTACTTACTAGCTTCCTATAATTGGTTCACCACTCTGTAGCACATCCCTTTTGCCTAGTTTCTTATAATCTAGGCTGTACAATGCATAATCCTCTTGTACATGAACTCTTTTATATAGTAAATATAAATAAGGATTACAGTGGGGTAAAACCCCACTGTACACAGGCCAAAGGAAATTTTAGCAATCTTGGGGCACATTACATCCATGTAATTTGAGATTCAAAGCACCGAGTGTTTACAGATTCACAGCACAGTGTTCCAAAACACACGCTGTATTCCCTTCATAAGAGAGAAACAAAAACCAGAGAAATTCAGACGGTGTGCATCTTTACATTTGTGTGCATGCAAGTAAAGAAAATAAAAATCATAGACCAACCAAACCATTGTACATCTCCACTGCTAGGGTTAGGATGAAGATGGTGTTTCCTGATTCTGCGCATTACTAATTTTAGGACCATTTACCAACTGCTTGATCTGGTCTCCGGTGAGAGTTCCATACTCGAGAAGGGCGTCGGCTAGCACATTAAGCTCGTTGCGGTGCGCCGTGATAATATTTTCTGCGTTCTTGCGAGCCTTGACCAGTAATTCTTTCACCTCCTCATCGACCAGGGCTGTCGCTTGCCAACTCAAGGTCGCCGTCTGCTTCCCATCATTGTTGCCGTAGCAAACAGGGCCGATCCGCTGGCTCATTCCATACTTGGTGACCATGTCTGTCGCCAGCTGAGTCGCCTCTCTTAGACCAGACAGGGCGTCAGAGCTCACCTCGCTCTCTCCAAATATAACCTCCTCGGCCACCTTGCCGCCCATGAGGATGTCTAATTTCGCCAGCATCTTCTTCCTTGAGAATTTATAGGCATCTTCTTCCTCAGGCATCTGGATCACCATGCCAAGAGAGTTTCCCCTCGGGATAATGGTAGCCTTGTAGATAAGGTGAGCGCCATCCGTGTGGATAGCAACAAGGGCCCTTCCTCCCGTGTGGTACGCGGTCATGTTCCTGCAGTTATCAGGTATCATTGCCGATTTGCGCTCGCTGCCCATCATGATCTTGTCCTTGGCGTATTCAATGTGATCCATCATAACAGCTTCCGACCCATCCTTGGCAGCCTTAAGAGCAGCCTCGTTCACCAAGTTTGTAAGGGCTGCACCTGAGAACCCCGGTGACCCATCCTTGGCAGCCTTAAGAGCAGCCTCGTTCACCAAGTTTGTAAGGGCTGCACCTGAGAACCCCGGTGTCCCCCTCGCAATCATCATCAGATCCACACCCTTGGCTTTGACCTGAAAAAATAAGAAGATTTGTAGTGAAAGGCCAAAGTCTTGCGTTGAAGATTACGAAGACGCCTTATCCTTCTGGACAGAGTGTGTACCTTTGACATACAAGACTCTAGGATCTGCCGCCGGCCCTCAACATCTGGATTAGGAACCTGAACATGACGGTCAAAACGCCCGGGTCTAATAACGGCTTTATCTAGCGACTGTGGGAAGTTGGTCGCTGCGAGAACAATGATGCCGTCATTCTGCTTGAAGCCATCCATCTCAACGAGCAGCTGGTTCAGAGTTTCCCTCGCCCCATTTCTGTCATTTACTTGCCTTTGCCCAGCGATGGTGTCAATCTCATCGATGAATATGATGCAAGGGGATTGCTTCTTTGCTTCACTGAAGAGCTCCCTCACTCTTTTAGGCCCAACACCCACCCACATCTCCTCGAACTCGCTGCCGCTGCGTGCAAAGAATGGGACGCCAGCTTCCTCGGCTACAGCTCTCGCCAACATGGTTTTCCCTGTGCCTGGTGGGCCAGCAAGCAGAACACCCTTTGGAAGCTTGCCACCAAGGCTCGTGAAATGCTGCAAATTAAGCATGCTAAGTAAACAATTCCATCAACATCTAGTCTACAGAAACAAAAAGGAGAACTGAATTGCACCAGGCTGCATACAAAGTTTCTTAATTGGTGATGGTGATGTCTCTCACCTTGGGATTCCTTAGGTAGTGAACTAAGTCCTCGAGCTCAGCTTTTGCTTCGTCAACTCCCCTGACACCACGGAATCCCGTGGTTGATTTCATCGACATGCTACCTTTTTTGGCGTCAACTTAACTGGACTTCCTGCTTGAATCTGTGGTCCCTTTGTTCACATCATCAAAGTTACCGCCTTTTCCACTGACGTCACTGGGCTTCGTGCTTGAATTTGTGGCCTTCTTCTTCAAATCATCCATGGCTTTGATCATATCATCCAACACTTTGTTCACTTCATCCAAGGTACGTCTTTTTCCAGTGACCCCCTTTTTCGAATCATCCAACACTTTGTTCACTTCATCCAAGGTACGGCCTTTTCCAGTGACCCCCTTGTTCGAATCATCCAACACTTTGATAGAAAAATTACGATATTCTTCATCCGTGCCTAGCTCATCCGATCTGTTAAGCATAGCATAGAGCACAAGGCCAAGATAGGCTGCAGTGGTTCCCATCACAGTCCAAAAAGCTATGTCCAATGGTTTGGACGGGTGGACCGATTCTGACTTAGCAGTTTCTCCTGGAGAAAACAAGTTGCCAAAAAAATTGCGCGCTGGTTCTGACTTAGCAGTTCCTCCTAGAGAAAACAAGTGGCCAAAACAATTGCGCGCCGGTTCTGACTTAGCAGTTCCTCCTAGAGAAAACAAGTTGCCAAAGAAACTGCGTGCCGGTTCTGACTTAGCAATTTCTTCCGCAGAAAACAAGTTGTCAAATAAATTGTGCGCTTCTTTTTGCGTGGGAAAAGAATAACATACAGTTAGCGAAAGGAATGCGTGAAAAGAAACGGCGGGTACCTCGAGTTTTGAACTCGGCACTGATGCGGGCGTTTATGTACTTGGAGAGAGCTGAGGAGTGCAAGGGATTCTGCGTTTCAAACTCTCGTATAGCTTCTTGGTCATTAATCTCTTTAAGAAGAGAATCGGCTTCAAAGCGGGCCCGTGCCCTCTGTTCAAAATAATCTGACGTGTATCTCCTCTGTAGGTTTCTAAGCGCACCGCCTGCATTAGTGAGCATCATCAGAGTTAAAAAGAAAACTAATTAGTCATCTTTTCAGACCAACAAATCAAAGTCGATGGCAGAATATAATGTGACATCTATATGATGGAAAGCAGGATATTGGACAGCATAATTAAGTCTTGTTTTCTCTGCGTGTGTGTGTCATCCTTCCGCAGGGGCCAATTTCATCCAAAAGTAGTAGCAGTAGTTGTCGGCAGTTGGCACATAAGATAAGTAGATGGATTAAAGCAATGATGAATGCATACCAGCGGCAACGGTTGATTTTGCGGCGGCCGCTACCTCGCCGCGAATCACTTTTCCCAACCCACGCCGTGCAAGATGTGTCCCAGCCTATGACACAAGCACGCAGAGAAATTGAGATGGCCTGAACATATGATGATGGTGGTATTCAACAATTATTAATCGCCTAAACTGTCAAGCCCTAGATCCAAAAAGGGCACCACTCTGAAACGCAGAGATGCGGCAGTGTTGCGGTTTCAGCATCGATGAGCATGAGCTAGCCTTTTGATTTTTTTGAGGGAAATCGGTGAGCTAGCTAGGTAGCATCAAGCACATGGACAAACACCTGGTGTTCACTAGTACGTACTAGAAAACAGGGCTTGAAGCCCCAAGATTGGGCGAGATCATTCATGATGGTTGAAGAGTAACACAAGGAAAGGAAAGGAAAGGAAAGGAAAGGAGAGAAATACTACCCTGGATAGGGCGAGGAGCCGGCATGGCATGACGGACAGGAGCAGGCCAGGACGTGCTGCTGGAGATTTATTCAGCCCGGTGGGTCGACAGAAAGAAGGAAGGGAATAGCTCGGAATTTGTTTGGGATTTGCTGTTCTTTGCGTCGTAGAGTAGAATTTGTTGTTAATTCCTAGATTCCTAGATGAGATGGACTGCATCCACTGATGAAACGTGCTTGCTTCTATCTCTGATTTAATCTGGCTATATGAACCCAAGGAACCTACCAAGGCAAATAAGGACGGACTCCGGGCGGCGAAAGAATGAATCTTGGTGATTTGGTACCTCTGCCTTACTTTGGGCTATTTGAAAATGCAGGAATGATATTATTTTTGATACGAAGAAGATAAACAACCCAATAAAGATAGTGAGAATGATGTATGGTTGGATTTTTGACTGGTCCGTTTTGCAGAACAAGAACCCAGAGAAAAAAACACTGATGCTGGGGGCAAGGCTCATGGAGCAAGTTGCAAGTGACATCTACAAGACGGTTCAGGGATGGCGCTTCGGAGTGTTGCGACTGCAGGAGCGAAGATGCAACTTTGGGTGTATTTCGAAAGTTGTTTGATGCTGCTTTTGAGTTGTAATAGCCTAGACTTTTATGGATCCTCTAGTTTCTTCAGTAGCGCGTGTCGTCCCACGCTACTGCTATACATGGCTAGCAGCAGCGCGTGGCACCAAAACCCGCTGCTACTAGCCATGTATAGC